TTTATAACATTTATTAATAACATAACACCACTATGAATATAAATAAATGAAGCTAAACATATGAATAACTTGTGTAAAGAAAATGAACAAGTGTTGCACACAAAATAAATAACTAACATAAAGGATTTGGGTTATATGCATCATTTTCCTTAAAAACTTAATTTCAATTAGCCCAAATGGAACTTACAAGGATTGAATTAATGTTTCAAAAAAAAATTGTATAAAAATAATATCATCGGTAATTTATATCAAGTTTAAACTCGCCCGAAAAAAGTTAGGATCGAAATTAACTATATAACCTTTTTAAAAAGAGTAAAATTATTCAAACACGATCCAAATAAATCCGACTCACTTGAATTGTCATCTTTATCATTAATTACAATGATCAAAGGGTGGTAACGTTGCAAAACTGGTTTCTTTCGCCAACCTCCCCCTCTCTTAGCCAAGAATGTTTCAAAAGTTTAGAGGATCAGCTGTTAATAAATTTGGTCAAGCGGATTGCATAAAAAATTTTCCAAAAAAATAAAAACAGGTACCATGAAACAAATAGATGTTCCGCCGTAGTATTTGAAAATTTGAGGAAACAATAATCATTATTAAAGACTTATAAGTATCATGTAAGAATTCATATTAAAATTCCGGGGGAGTAAAAAATAAATCACGCCAAACAGACAAGTGATAAAAAAAAAAGATCACAAAATATGATACATTATTTTCAAATGAAACTAAGGAATGGAAGTAGTTTTTCCCTATATTATTTGAATCACTTACTTAATAAAAGCAGTCGTTTACTTTTCTGAAATTGTAATTTACTTTCATGATTCAAAATGCTGTTGAAAAATATAGGTGTAGTCACTTCCTATAACCACTGGACTCAATGAAAGTATTTATTTTTTTACTTTTGAAAGTGTCACACTGTCATTTACTTCTAGGGGCATTATAATATTTTGCAAAAAAAATTAATATCAGATAATCCTCGAAGACTTTAAAATAATTACCCTTTGGTCATGTTTTATCATTTGTTCAGGCAAAAAAATATTCCATTTGTCAATTCAATTGAGATTTATTTACCATTTTCCCTGAAATTTGTGTGTGTGTGAAAGACTGTGAGAAAACATTTTACAGATTTCAAACAGGGAGATGTCAAAACTACCCCGGGCATTAAAAAAATTATTAATGTTATCAGTCGTAGGTCCGTGCAGACCCCATTTGAAAAGTTTGTTGAAACGTGAAGTACACGTACATATAACAGTTAACTGAAAAGGGTAAGAGGTCAGAGAAGCAAAGTTGAGCATGACTCACAGTATTTTGTCTTTATTGATTTTTGGGAGAACACAGTATTTTATAATTTTATATATCAAACGCTTTCTATGAGAAATTACTTAATAATTGATAATAGACTATTAATTAGTTTTTTATACGAAGTTTTTTACAATCTTCTAAAATTTACTTTTTAAAATAAGAATAAATCCAAAAATTATTTCATATTTAAACAATTTTAATGATTTAATTAGCACTCTTTAATCTTGATTATTATGAAATAGTTAGTTTATATTTAAAAAGGATTTAGATTTGGTGAATCAACCAAATCTATTCAATCAATATTTTAACTACTCCATTCAATCATAATTATAAGACACTTTCCATAAAAATTATTTAATCTTTAATATAAAATATTTTGTAGGTTATTCATTACATTGTTTAATATTACTCCCATTTCTTTAGTAATCAATTTAAATACACAATTCATGCACCTAAGTGTCAAAAGTAGGGTTTGTATATATACATGCACACAATTATATCGATGTTGGATTTGGTGCCCAGTAAGAATAAATGATCGATGGAAGAAACCATACGCTAGATATGTGAGACCAAATGTGGGTGGTTCAATGATAAACATAATAGAAAAATGCAATAGTGTTGTCGTAGATCGCAATGCAAATTGGGTGGGGTGGTTTTGATGTCTGTGTAGGCCACTATCTATTGTTGTGAGAGAGTTGCTTAGAATTATTCATAGATTAAAGTTTTCATTGATTGTGTTGATGTGTTGAACCTTCTCCTCAGATATAATTAAGAATTTCACCTATATGTGAATATTATTACATAGGCATATTCCCTCCTCTACAAAGACAGTGACATATCTATGATAGTGACATATCTATGACTCTTATGTTTAGGGAGGTTAATTATTATGTTTATTTTTTTGGTTAAGTTTGCTTTAGATAGAACAAATAAGTTTTAATTTTTTAATCAACTCTCATCTTTTTTGTTTGAAGGTGGTGGATGATAATAAAGGAGCTCTTTTGAGGGTTTTTTTGTAATCCTTTTATTTCTAGTTCTCCTTTCTAATTCAAAAAGAAAAAAAAATAGAGAAAGATGACATTGTTCCTAGGACAACTAACCATTGGCTTCATTAATTATGAGAGAATATGTAATGTAATTTAAAAATTTTTCATTTAAATATGGATAAACTTAAAAGTTTATTTTATTTTCAAATAAATTTAATAACTTAACCACCTCTTCTAATGAGGTAATTAAAAATGTCTTATAATAGAAATGAAAGGGAATATATTCATTGGATTTCAATATCTCATTGATATTTAAAAATTATTAAAATATTTCCCTCTCTAAAAATTCAAAATAATCTTGACTATAAGAACACTCATCATATACACATTGTCCCTTCCAAAATTTAAGATATATTTTTTTAGTATTATATAACAAATTATTTGAAACTATTTCCATTAAATCAACTGTAAGACTTACACCACTTGCTTTTAAATCATCTAAGGTCATATTTGGTACGATGCAATGCTTTTTGATGAAATGGGAGTGATAATTAGAATAAGCATAGGAATGGAAATGAGGATGAGGATGAGCTTAAAAAAACGTGTTTGGTGTGATGGAAGAATTTAATAAAATTATACCTACTATTTTTTTTTGGTAAAAAATTCTGTTTAGCAATATTGTTGTCTTTAAAAGGAAAAATAGTAATAAAATCCCTCCAAATTATATAAACAACAATTTAATCCTCTGAAATGTTATAATTTCATTGAAATCTGTAGTATTTCTTTATCAATAAATTTTAAATTAAAAAGATTATTTTTACCTTTATTGATAAGTTGTGATTTTTTATTCAATTTTTGTATTTTTTTTAAAAAAAGTTGTAATTCTTTAAACTAAAATTATGAATAAGGTTTTTTATTTTGAAAATTTATTTTTTAATAACAGAAATTATATTTGACAAATTATGATTTCTTATTTAATTCTTATGATTCATAGAACAAAAGTTATTTCTCAAGCAAAAATTGTGATTGAGACTTTTTTTAATAAAAAATTATATTTAACAAGTTGTGATTTCTTATTTAATTCTTATGACTTATAAAACAAAAGTTGTAATTTCTTAAACAAAAGTTGCGATTGAAACTTATTATTTTTAGTAAGGATAAAATGATCTTTTTACTAAAAAAAATTATTGACAAATAAGTCTTTATGAACTTTATTGAAATTATGACATTTTGAGGAATTAAGTTGTCATTTATATAATTCAAAATAATTTTATATCATTTGTCTTTTTTTTTAGCCAAAACAAAGTCATTTTTATTAATCATCAAAAAAAAGTATAAACACCAATAGTTGAAGCAAAAAAAACCCTAAAAATTACAACCTAACACACAAAAAACTCACCAAAAAAAGAAAGGTTAATGAGCAAATAGGATTATGAACTCTTACTCAAAAATAGCCTTAAACCTTAAACTCTTAAAATATATAAAATAAATTATAAACTTTTAAATTTGTAACAAAATAAACCTTGACTGTTAACTTTTTTAATGCCGTTACTATTCATGCTAGTACTATCCACCATAGGCCCCGGTTGATGCTAATGTGTCATTGTGAATTAGTGCCGCATACCCTAAACTATTATGTTAGAAGCATTTTGAATCCTAAACTATTATGTTAATAGCGTTTTGGACCTTGAATTTTAAAATTTTGAGCAAATTACCTCCACTATTTATATATAAAATGTTGACTATTATATAGATTAAATTAGCATCAACATGCTTCACCGTAATGAATGCATTATTGGTCGTGACGAACGGCCTATAATTTTGTGAAATGACATTCTTTGCCCCTTTTTTTTGCAATGTTTTTCAAATAATTGGTATCCCGTGCTTTTGTATACTCTATAACTCTAATTTAATATTATTTTAAATAATATTTATTTATTTAATGGTAAAAACTTGGGATCCCATTTAAAAAGAAGTTTCAATATTAGATAATTTTAATTAACTGATTAATTTGAGTTTTAAATTCATTGATGAAATCATTGACTTTTGCATTCATCGTTCGTAAAATTTTATGATACTTAAACTTCTTTTCAAATAGGATTTTAGATTTTTACCATTAAATAAATAAACATTATTTAAAATTAAGCTACATTAGAGTTATAGATTATACAGAAGTATGATATATCAATTGTTTGAAAAACATTGTAAAAAAAGGGTAAAAATATTATTTTATAAAATTATAAGTCGTTCGTCATGGCTAACAATACATTCACTGTGACTAATCATGTTGAGATTAATTTGATCTACATAATAGTTAATGTTCTATACATCAATTGTGAGGATAATTTGTTCAAAATTTCAAAATTCAGGATCCAAAACTCTACTAATATAATAGTTCAGAGTTTATAATGTTACTAACATAATTTTTTAAGGTTTATAGTGCTAATTAATAATAACACGTTAACATTAATTAGGGCTCATGGTGAATAGTATTTGTGTGAACACATTAAAAAAGTTAATCATCAAGATTTATTTTACTATAAATTTAAAATTTTAAAATTTATTTTACATATTTTAATAGTTTAGAATTAAGAATAATTTTCAAACGGAAGTTCATAATTTTATTTGCTCATTGATCCAAAAAAGAAAACTTAAAATACAATCTAAAACAAAAAAACCAGGCAAAAACTAGCAAACACAACCAAGCAAAAGCAACGTTGGTCAGCCAATACCACTTCTAATCCCACAACCAGAAGCATCGCTGCTGCGATTAAGAGCTTCATCCAATAAAAGTTTGGCAAACATTGGTCATTTTTCCTTTTTTAAAAGAGCATTTTAACGCTGACTTTTATTGCCACCATCACCACGTGCATTGCTTCGTGATTTCGTATTTGGCTCGCTGCTTCACTCGACTCTGTTTTGATTTTTGCATTTAGCAGTTCACAAACATGCTCGCTTTTGCCCTCACTTCTGTTGCGGTGCCGACGCCAACGAGACGCTTGGCTCCTCCGACGCGCTTCTTCACTGTTGTGGGTCATGGATTCCCTTCCTTTCTCCCCAAGCAAGTCCAACAAGTCAAGGATCCTTTTGCCCGGAGCTTCGCTATGCGGATTCAGCGAATTCCCGTTCCCGTAACTTCTATTCGCTCCCTTGCATTTCTCTTTTCTCTTCTCTTGAATGGCTATGTTACCGATTCATTGAGATTCAAGCAATCAAATAGGGATTACTTCTTGTAGTTAAAGTATACACTGTTGTAACTGCGTTGTGTGAGTTCAATAGTTCTTCCTTATCCCTTGAGTGCTTGTGTTTGTCAGTTTGGGGGTGTGATGCACCATCTAAGTAATTGCTGTCGAAAACTAACACACTTTTCTTGTGCATTGTGTTTGTAGACCAGTTACTCAAAAAAAAAAAAAAAATCAAAAGTTGTTTTTCTAAATAAAATTTAGGCTATTTATATGTTCTATTCTTAAGATAAACAACAGAGTATTTGTGTATTTTATTTTTTTCGTTTCTTCAATTTGTTTTTAGAAAATCTAAGGAGATAAAAAAGAAGAGGAGGGAAAATAATTGAAATTCAGCAGAGAGTGGAATTTGTTTATATTTTTCTAAATCTTTCTCATTTTTAAATTAGATGGTAGATCCGTGTATTGCATGGAACCTATATAGTAAAGCTTCGTTATTGGCAACTTGTGAATAGTGTAGTTTTTATCATTATTATCCTTATTATTTATAAGGATTGAAGACGAGAGAATGGAGAGATGCGAGAATAATGATTTTTTTTTTTTCTTGTTGCAAAATCCTGTTAGTTTTGAGGATGGGGGATATAGTTGAGGATGTAATGTTATGATTCTCAGCAATTTTACATAAAAAAACATCATGCATTGTATAGGGAAAAGGAGATATGTGTGCCAGTTGTTGCATATTACGATCGTTAAGCTGCCTCTATTGAAACTTTTCCCGTGCTTATGGACTTAAAGATCCCAAATTGTGTAGGATTGTTCCTTTGTGAATAGGATTATTCATTATTTCCTGTCTGCCTGTCTGGTCAGTCCACAGTTCTAAGCGTTGTAAACCCATTTACGATCTTTTTTTGGCTGCTTATAAACTATTAATCTTACTATTTCCATATGACCTCATTAGGTTAACTTCTCAGAAAATCCCATTATGAGTAGCTGCGTGAAGCCAGTGATGCAAAACAAGGCAAATCCGTTAGTTCTTCTGCATGGTTTTGACAGGTTCTTAAAATCTGTTAAAGAATTAGTTTATCAGTTTCTATGCTCAATAAGCCTCTGAATTTCTGAGTCGTTTGAGTGCAGCTCATGTTTAGAATGGAGATATGCATATCCATTGATGGAGGAAGCTGGTTTTGAGGCCTGGGCCATTGACATTCTTGGTTGGGGTTTCTCTGATTTAGGTTTGCTTTGTACCTTCACTTACTAATTGCTTTCATCACATATTTGCCTCTCTACAAGAGATTTTTAGGGATGCTTTTTGTCTACTTTTCTTGTTATCCATCAGAAAATCTTCCATTATGCGATGTAGCATCCAAGCGCCATCATTTCTATCAGGTACTTAACTTATTTTAGGTGATTTGAAGCAAAGTTGCACACTTTTTGCATCAATTTAGTCCTTAGTAATCATCGTCATTTGACTCCAAATACTTTCAAAAACCCATCAATACGGCCTATAACGGATTAAATTGATGGAGGCAAGGATCATATTGATGGGCTTTCCAAACTTAGTAGCTTCCTAACCTAATTATCTTTAAGGACTAACTCCATGAAACATGAATCTTTCGAGGACCCAAATACCTTGTCATACTGTGTTAAAGCTGAAACTGATTTATTTATGACAGTTTTGGAAGTCTTACATCAGAAGGCCAATGATATTGGTTGGACCAAGCCTTGGCTCTGCTGTTGCCATTGACTTCGCCGCCAATCATCCGGAAGCTGTATGTGTTAAAGAAAATCGTTAGATTAAGTCATTAATTTATCTGAGAATTTATCTTCTGAAACAGCTTCGTCCAATGACTCAAGTGCGCTCAGGTCAATTACTTGGAGTTCATGTTTTCAGGTGGAAAAGCTTGTTTTGATTGATTCCAGTGTATATGCAGAGGGAACAGGACCGCTAGCAACCTTACCTAGAGTGGCAGCTTATGCTGGCGTATTTCTCTTAAGCTTACTAAAGCCTTGAACACACACCACTTGTCCAATATTTTTTTAAAAAGGAATAACAAAATTTTATCATATATCAAACATTCTCTAGGTGGATCAATATGTTGAAATCTTCATATTAGATCAGTTCAACTGAAAAACTTTGGGCCTGTTTGGCAATCTGTTCTGAGAATAGTTTTCTATTCTCCAGAATAAAAGAACAAAAAAAACCTGTTATAATGTGTTTTTAAAAAGTGTTTTAAAAACAAAAAACTAAAATATTATTCTGGAGAACAAACAAATGGAAACAACTTTCAAGTAATCTGGGATTATTGTTTTGAAGAACAAGAGAGAATGAGAAAATACCTATATTTCATTATTTTTTTGTTCTCAGAACATATTTTTACAAAACACTAATGCTCAAAACAATAAAATAAAAACAGTTTTAAACAGCCTCTTTCACTCTTAATTTCAACTGAGATAGGAGCAGTAAATATTAAACTTTCCACCAGTTAGTTATAAAGACTGTCAAGAACCATATTAAACACAAACGTCTAATCCATTAAGGTATATGTAAACATATACATTATTATACAGATCATCACCTTTCTTTTGACTCAGGTATACTTATTGAAGAGCATTCCTTTGCGCTTATATGCGACCTATTTGACCTTCTCTGACGTATCATTTAGTACCAGTCTCGACTTGGCTAGTGTGAGTTTCTTTATGCAATGTTATAGATTTCTTTATGCATTTTGAATATTTCATTGGGCCATTTTCTTGTGCTCAATCTTCACATGCTCAAGTTCCCCAAACTTTCAGTATAGGAAATATGATTTGGATCTTCTAAAAGTGTGTGAAACTTTATAGTGTCCTTTGAAGATAGAGTGACACTTAAATGAGTGAGAGAATGTATGGAACTCACATCTTTGATTTTAACACTCTTCTTCTTGACTTCTTTTATCTCTATCTCTCTCACTTCAGAAACAATTCATAAACTTCTCAGTCAGAATATCCAAATCCATAGGAAATAGGATGGACACCAGTCTTAGTTGGAAACTTCCTATTTATGTTGTAACAATTTTTAGGAGTGCAAAACTTCTTGTACACTTGATCATTTTAGATTGTTGTGTTGCTAACATAGGTGGGTCGCTTGCATTGCTTAATGCCTTGGTGGGAGGATGCTACAGTGGATTTCATGGCTAGTGGCGGTTATAATGTCGCTTCTCTGATAAAAGAGGTACATCTGCTGCAACTTGAGTTGAACAAGTTCACTTTACATAGTCGCAGGCATGTGCAGATGAGAGCTCTCCTTTCACTGTATATCTTCACTTGCTTTCTGCTTCGTGCTATGATGCTAGTTATTGATTTTTAACAGGTAAAGCACAAAACTCTCATCCTTTGGGGTGAGAATGATCGCATCATCAGCAATAGGCTTGCAGTGGTAAATTATCATTTAGCGCCCGCTCTCTCTCTCTGCATGCACACGTGTGTGCACACAGAATTATCCAATGTCTTATATTGTTAGGTTGGATTTGAGTATTGTTGAGCTCAATTAGGCATAACATGTGTTGAACCCAAAATCCATGATCATGAGGCATGATTGCCTCTAATGCACTTGATGCTGTTATTGGAACCAAAGTTGACTCATGAACTATTTGACCTTGCAGCGACTGCATTCTGAGTACCTGATGCAATTATACGCCAGATCCCCAGCTGTGGCCATCTACCTCATCTTGAAAGCCCCAGTTCAGTTGTTAAATTGATTCTTGAGTTTGTTCAGAAAGAAACCAGCTAGGTAAATCACTGTGTTTCACGTTAGAAGGTGCTTAGAGGGCTTTCTCTAACTATTTATTTGTATTGTTCTTGCTTCGGGCTCTGAAAGATAGGAACAATAGAGGCTGATCACAGAAGTTAAAAATGGGTTAGTGATAGTTATGGCTTATTGTTAGTAATAGTTATGGTAGAGCGTAATGGTGTAGTGCAATCCATATAGCTGATCTCACCTAATGAGATAAGACTTGTTGTTGTAATAGCTATGGCTCTATAATTGTTTGTGGAAGCCTATGTTTATATGAACTGGACATTTCTGTTCTGGATCTTAATGTGATATTAAATTCTACCACTCGGCCCAAAAGAGAAAAATAATTGCTGAATCTGAATGTGATTGATTTTGAGCGATTATTTTTCTTACTGGTTTCATCATGAACTTGTCGAGAGTGACATTTGAAAGCAATCCCTCATGGATAATGTTGGATGTGTTGTCAACAACTGAACAATGTTATTGCCATTATTAGGTTGGGATAGCGAAACTTACAGATTGGTCCGGTCTGCTTTTTGATTTATTGGTTTCTTTTTTTTTTTTTTTAAAAAAAAACACATAAACATGCGTTTTTGTAGGATGATGAGGAAATTTACCTAAAATTCACTGTATCAAATATAGATAGATTAATTAAACCATAAATAAGTATAATAAAATCTAACTAAAAAATGTGTCTCTGTGTATTTATTTAGAATTTATAATTGCAGTGACTTATGTTTAATAAGTCAAGTGTTTCAAGTAAAAATTACTACTCTCCCTGTAATGGAGGAGAGGAGGAATCACGCAAAGCTTCCAGAGAGAGGATGGTACAATTATTTGGGCACACAGTATTTTATTGGTGACAAAATTATTGTTGATTCACCTTGTTTCAAAAAAGTACGTGATGGAATATTTGCTTTCTTTTTTAAAAAAATTATGACCGAAGTTTATTTTAAAAAATGTTTATGATATACTTTATATTTATAATTATAATTATAATTGAAAGATCCAAAAATTAATTAAAAATTTTATTTATAAATTGTTTTCTTGACAATTCTCAACCATTAGGAAGCTTATTTAGATTAGCTTGAATGATTCTAAGTTGGTTGAGGCACTTGCTTTATTGATGCTAAGGATAACTTTAAATATAGTTAAAATAATATGTCATGCACAATGCATAATAAAAAAAATCATTTGTTTTTTTTATAATTTTGATTTAATTAAAGTTCATTCTTTGAATATTAATTTAGTTTAATTCTCAGTTTTAAATCGATTGAAATTCATTGATGCAACTCAATTTTTACAACTTTAATCATTTAATGCCAGTCTCTATATCCTTAAAAATAAAATTATAAGAATTAAAGTTATTTTTAAATTTAGGCATTAATATTTTTTTTAATTTAAGGACTAATATTTAAATGCCTAAAACTCTTACATAAAACATGAGAAAGTGATTGTACATAGAAGAATTTGAAGATAATAATACTTCCCGATGTAATCTTTTATCTTATTACACGGGAACAAAATCATTTGATGGTCTTATAATTAGTTAAAAAAAATGTTCATGTCAAATTGTCCCATTGTCAATCGAATCATGCCATCATAAGTATTCATATCTATCTACTTTCGGGGAGTCATATCAAGCTCCAAGTATCACCACTGAATAAGAACCAAATTCTCTCACCTTTTTCCCCCACGGAAAGAAGAGGAGGAAACCAACAAACAAACCCAAGTGGGGTTTCTTCTCGATGATTCCTTATATAATTTACATGATTACCCCTCATATCGTGGCTAAATACCATCCGCGCACCACTCCTCTCCCACACTCTACTAGTTGTTCCAAGTTTACATTCTTATATATACCAGTCAAATTAAACCCTAATGATGAACATTAACCAGAAGATAAGAAGGGATAATGGTAATGGAAACACTGTGGATTGCAGAAGAGCTACTCCTTTGCTGTCATTGAAGCTTGTTCCTGTCCCAGTTGTTGTGGCCGTAGGACTTATCCCAAACGTAGGACTTGATGTCCCTGTTCCTGTGCCAGTGGTTGTCCCTGCAGTTGTGATGTGTGGTGTGGTTGAGGTTGTAGTGGAGGTGTTGTGCCTGTTATCCCAGTTGTCGGCGATGTTGATGGTGTTGTCGTTTGTGCCTGTTCCTGTGCTAGTACTACTGTAACAAGAAGAGATTTCAAATCAATCATCATTTACATAAAACCAAATCATGTTAGAAATTATGCAGAAAATAGACACTTTAGATGGAGGAAAATAGTTGTTTGATGATATAATCCTTCACATGCACACATACAGACACACACACCACAACACACACAACTATCTGAATAGGTCAGGCCCAATTAAGGTAGCTCTTTCAAAAACCGTTTTTGCATTTACCCATTATTCTAGGATGTAATGATATGATCCTTTTCAAACACCCCACATGAGCACTTCACTTATTGCAGTGTTTGGCTAGGTTGTGCTGGTGTTGATGCTTCCTAGAGTACCAGGGATGAAACAGCCATTTGATTATTAGGCACAGATCCGGGACTGGGATCAACTTGTGGGGAACAAGAGGACAAGTTAATTTTGCAGGAAACAGAATTCTGATTCTGGGGAGGTAATAGATAGGGACTTAAACCAAGAATATAGCTCTGGCTAATTGTGAAAGTTACTTGCAACTTGGAAGAACTGAACATGGTCAGTAAGTTTAGCTCTGATATCTTATTTGTAGATGGCACTCACTGTCACTGTGAGTGTAAAGAAAATAGATAAATATAAAGCTGCACCTAAATGACCTAAAAGAAAAGAGAACAAGTTGGCTGCTTGAAAGGAAGAGTCAACAGAAAAATCTGATTAATGCAATGGAGAAAGAGAGCAATCAACCAACAAGATCTCCCACCTTTCACACACACGCACACACAAATTCTTCCAAATTCAGACAATTCACACAATTCAATGGATGGGGGAAAATATTGATAAAGATCCAAAGTCAAGAAGCGTACCTAGCACTTGAAGGGAAAACACACCAGAAGATGAAGCTATGGATCAACAACAAAAGCACACAACAAAGAGAGAGAGAGAGAGAGAGTAGATCCATATCAGTAACAGTGAGAGTCCAAAATGCAGGTGGGTTAGAAGAAGAGAGAAGATGATGATGATGATGATGATGAGTGCTAACCAGGAGCAGTTTGAGAGGCAGTAGCAGTGCCAGCAAAGTCACAGCTTCCCTGAGCTTGACCTCTTTTCTGGAAGTAGCTATTAACAGCGTAGCTGCAGTGATCCTTACAGTGTTAGGTTGGTAACAAGCACCATTCTGAAGAATAGGAGTACAGTCAGCTCCAGCTCCACAAGCATAATCCAGAGCTTTCTGAAGAGCTTGATCGCCCCCACCATCCTTGCACACACAATATAGAGCACCTATTGTTGAAAAACCAGCAAATCAGTTAGTTTACACCAGATATGCATGAATCGTCAGAGCTTCTGAATTGAAGAAGTCTTTCATCAGTTAAACGAAGCAAGAGGCAGAAGACACTCGGTACAGAAAACCCATTTCATCATCTCAAGCTTAAAGAGAGAAAATCTGAAGAACCCATCATGATCAGAAGAACTCTATTTAACCAAATGTGGAAAATCTGAAATACGCAAGTGGGAATCAAGATGCTTACTTGAGTGACCAGTGAGAGCCAAGAGAAGCACAAAATACAGCAAAAGAACCATGATTGATGATT